TGATTGGCTCCCAAAGGCTTCTAGGACGGAGGCCTAATCCATTAGAATAGTGCAGAGGCGCTGTGCTCCTGCGGGCTTCCCCGGCCTTCTCGCTTCCCTGGCCCCCATGGCCTCTGGGCCGTGGAAAGTCTCTCTGGAGTCTGCCTGCTGCCCCACCATCTTGGAGAAAAGTCCAGAAGAGGCTTGAGGTGACTTTTGAGCAAAGGCAAGTTAGCTTCATCATTGCTGCCAGCAGCTCCAGGGCTCTTTCAGGAGGGGGTTCTCTGGGTGCAGAAAACACTCAAAATAGGGGTGCAGTTGGTGCTATTCTTGCATTAAATCTGTAAATAGCTTTGGGGAAAATTTGAATCTTAAGAGTTTTCCAGTCTCTCCACATATATATCTTTAATTTCTCTCAATATTGTTTTACAGAACTCTTTGTTGAATTCATGCACTTTTTCATTTGATTTACTCCTAGGTATTCGATTTTTTTGATATATTGCAAACAGCACCTTTTTAAAATTTTATTTTTTGTTTCTGAAACATGGAGATGCATTTGTTTCTTTCAAGAAATTTTGAACTGGTATCTAGCAACCTTGCTGAAATTCCATGTTCTAAATAATTGAGCTGCAAGCTGCATACCTAATCACAGTCTGTGAATCATGAGTTTTTGTTCCTACTCAGTCCTTACAAGCTCTTTTCATTCTTGTCTTCTTGCGCTGGCCAGGACCTGCAGTGCCATGTTCAATGGAAGCGGGGGTGCAAACATCCTTGCTTTGTTCTCAGTTTCAGGGAGAAACTCTTCAACACTTCACCAATAAGTATTCCACCTGCTGCAGGGTTTTTTTGTAGATACCCTTTAAAGAAGTTCACTTCTATTCCTATTTGCCAGAAGTCTTCACTCTAAACGGATGTTGAATTTAATAAAACCCTCTTCCTGCACTGGTTGAGATGCCCATGTAATCTTCTAGAAAGTTAAATTCCCGGTTTGCTGCAGGCCTCTTTTCCTGAGTGGGCAGGCCGGTAAGAGTTGACACGTTTCCTGTACTCTTGGCGTTGTTGGGCTGCAAAGAGTTTGCTGGATGTACGAGGGTCTCTGACGAGAGGCGAGACAAGAATGTAGGCATCGAAACTTCTCTAAGTTTCTAATTCAGAAAATTATCTTTCAGTGACTAAAAGGAAAAAAGAAAGAACAGCATGTACTTTGAGGCTGGTGTGCCTACACCTGTAAGTGCAGTTGAGGGTTGTCTCTGGGAATTTGGCGAATAAAGAAAGCAGAATGCAAAGGATCTGCCAGGTTTTCGAAGGAAAGTTAATTCGTTCTTGACGTATCTGCCGCTGAAGGGGGCTTGGAGACTCATCCGTATGACCACTGACTCTGCGTGTTGGCCAGCCAGACCGAAGCAAAGACAGTGCAACGTCAAGGTAATGTCCAAGTTTAAAGAGATGCCATGAAAAAGTAGAAAAGTCATTGGACATGTTTATTGTTAATGGACTCATTCCACCATCAGGAGTTTGAATTCTGCTTGTAATTTCCTTTTAGCCTGGTTACAAATGTGACTCAACCCACATGCAAAAATCGGGACAGGCTGGTTTTTAAGAAAATTGACTCAGAACTGAAAGGGGAAAATGACTGCTCAGATTAGTCTTGGAATAATTTTCAAGTACACCTAGAGCCCCTGATACAGAAGGAAACAAATGTCAAAACATGGGAACGTGTATTTCACTACAGCATAGCATCCTCGATCCAGGAACGTGAATGAGCATTTCTATTATTTGGATTTGGAAAAAAAATCCATGGGATGCATTTCTTGGCCGGGTCTACAGCTGGCATAAACGCTGTTGTGATTCCCCCCACGCCTTTAGCTCCTAGTGGGTAAGCAGTTGGAGGTGGAATGTAGTTAAGATCGTTATTGAACAAAGTGAGGAAAATAGCCTTTTTCCAGACGAAAGCTCTGTGACAGATGGACCCCAACACTGTTCATTTGCTTTCAGCAGGAACAATTTCTAAACAGTTTCTATTTTGGACGGAGAAACCAAATAGTAAGGAGTGAAAGGACACTGGAGCTCTCCAGTCCCACTCATTCCTTTTACAGTTGAGGAGACTGAGTTCCAGGAAACATCATTGTCTTGGCCAAGATCACCCACAAACGGGGGTGGGACCCCAGGTTTTCTCTACTGTGCCATACATAGCACTTCAGGGTAGCAATTGCTCGTTACTATTTTTCTAGAAACCCTGAACTCCGAATTTGGGAGTCATCTGTGCTGTGACCCCTTCCCAGCTGGCAGATGTACTCTGAGAAAGAAAAGGGGTGCATTCTGACAGATAAAGGAGCTAGAGTTTACAGAGAGTGTTTTGTAGATAGTAATACCGAAAGTGAGACTCCAGCGTCTTTTCTGCGCCTCTTCAGTCTTTCTTCCAAGCGCTGAAATGATAGTGGTGAAATTCAGATAATAGAGTTATCTTGAAGAGAAATGTACCCCTTGAAGTCACATCAGAGGGTCCAGCTCTACATCAGAGGAGAACCTTTGGCTCTGTATCTAGCGGGCCCTAAGCTTGTGCCATGAAACGATGCCTGGGTTGTGTAAGTTTTTTAAATTGAATTTATTGGGGTGACATTGGTTTATAAAATTATATAGGTTTCAGGGGTACAGTTCTAGAATACGTCACCTGTATGTTGTATTGTGTGCTCACAACCCTGAGTCAAGTCTCCTTCCGTCACCATTTTTCCCCCCTTTGCCCTCTCCTACTGCCCCACCCCCTTCCCTCTAGTAGTCCGCTGTACTGTTGTCTGAGGAGTTTTTTTAGTTCCTTCACCTTTTTCACCCAGCCCCCAACCTCCTCCCTTCTGACAGCTGTCTCTGTATCTATGAGTCTGTTTCTGTTTCGTTTATCGTGTTCATCAGATTCCACATATAAGTGGACAGTCCTGCTATTTCAAGGCCCCGTGGTCTGTGTGATTCTTCCCTCCTCTCCCCTCCACAGTTCACCTGTTTCTGAGTTTAGCCTCTGCAGTGGACTGTCCATCACTCATCTCCATGTGGTTCAGTTGATGGGAGGGAGGGTCGGGGCAGAATTTCTTCCCGGGAAGGAAAGGTGCGAGTGTGACCCTGTATAGGGCCTTCACTTCGTAGTGCGTTATCTACACATGCATTCCTTTCATAGCGCCGAGGTTTATTGTCACGTTCCTGCACATAACTATGGTCCAAAGAGCGTCTGGTTCCTTCTCTGCGTCAAGTTGTGCTGTGAAAAGTCCTTTCTGTGATTAATCACTTGGTATATGCCAGCCCGGTAAGGAAGTTGGGTGGGGAGAAAAAGTAGCAGTAATTGCTATCGACGTGATCACGTCCCTGTGCTAAGGTGTCGTCTTTGACATTTGCCCAGATAAGCCCACCTACCTGTTTCTTCCTTTTGTGAACCCAGAGTCAGTCTACTCTGGATCAGGGCCGGATAAAGCTCAAGGGCTGGGTAACACATATTGTAATGGCCTTGGGGGCCAGGTAGTCTCCGTGGCTGTTAACTGCTGGGGTGGTGCAGCCAGAAGCTGCACAGAGGGCCGTGGCCGTGTCCCAACAAAACGGCATTTACAGAAGCCCTTGGACTTGGCCTGCGGTTGGTGTTTGCCATCCCTGGTTTGCACTGACCGACCCTCAGTTCTGGTGTTCGGACCATGCGCCAGGATCCAGGGCTGCTGAGAAATACGGCTTCTATCTAGGCCTCGCCCTCAGGCTTCTGATGAACACCCTAGAGCTGCGGAATATGTATTTTTAAAAGTTCCTTAATTGATTCTGCTGCCGAAGTTATTCAGAGGTCCATTCTGCTTTTAAAATTTGTATGTGTCTTATATACATACAATAGACACATGGTTTGTGTTTCACAATAATAAGAACGGCATGATTGTGTACAAGCCGTTCTGCAGGTTCTTTCTTTGCCCTTTTTATCAAGGTGCGTCTCTGTTACTGATATCCAGAATCGATATAATAAATGACTTTGTCCATTGTAATACATTGTACAATTTTTTTTCTTCCATCATGCTGCTGCCTTTTAATTTCATTTCTGGAGTCATATGGATTTTTAAAACATTTCAATGAAGTAGAATGTGTCAATCTGTTCCTAAGGAATGACTTTGCTTCAGGGGCATTGGCGATGTCTGCAGACCTTTTTGGTTGTCACAACTGTCACGGTTGAAGGGAGGGAGGGCTTCGGCTGGCACCCAGTGAGTAGATACGAGGGGCGCTGCTAAACATAATTATGTGTGAACCACTTCAATAGGAGAAATCGAGGTTCCATTTCTGTGGTCCACTCTTTCCTGAATTCGGTTTTGTGATCAGCTGAGAACCCAGGGGTGCCTCAGGTGGAGGTCTGACTTTCTGCCAGCACAGGAGCAAATGCTAACTGAGTAAGCACGGAGAACACGTCTGAGCCCTCGAGCTGTCCCAGAGCAGCATTGCTTCATTCTGTTTTGTAGCATCTCCAGGTAATAACAAGTGGCCATTCAGAGGTCAGCAAAGGACTCTGGATAAACATGTAGAACATGTGTGTTAACACATGCAAGTGAATTTTATCTCCTGTATCCAGCAGGGTCACATTTCTCTGTAATCACCCTCCAAAGTGATGAGATAGGAACTTATATAAGATTCTGCTTAATGCTGGTTGACACCATGCTCTCGACTAACTTGCAGTTGTCATGCATGCTCATAATTTTGGGAGCCTCTAATTAAACAACAGCATCTTCAAAAGCTTTGTCATCAGGTAGGAAATTGAGAGGCCGAGGTTAAGCGCATCTGTGGGAGCGATGCCCTGGGCATGAGGAAGCCTTGTGATGGTCTAGGATGTGCAGAAGATTTCACTTTCGATCCCTAGTATCATTTACTATGACACGCAGGTGCAAGTATCAAAGTTGGTATTTTCTTAATAAGCCTCAATTTTATCTATTTTTGCCTTAGAAAATTTCTCTAACTGACCTGTTCCTGAAATCGCCATTGTTTGGGGCCGCGGGTTTGGGAGGCTCTTCTCCGCTATGTGTGTATCTCTCCCGGACGCCTGTTACCTGTGGAAAGCTGAATGTCGGGGTGACCGTGGCCGGCCGCCCCCAGTAGCCCAAGTAGTTAACGTTCCCACCGGAACAGCGGCTGGGACACGCCGAGCTCATCTTCCAGCCCTGGCACCGCTTTTCTTACGAGGGGATAATTGACCCGTTTATGGTCTCCTTTCAGATTGTGGCGGATCCTTGTGCCAGCAACCCTTGTCACCATGGCAACTGCAGCAGCGACCGCGGGGGCTACCTCTGCATGTGCACCGACGGCTATGAAGGCCCCAACTGCGAGCAGGCGCCTGCCAGCCTCCCGGCCTCCGGCTGGACCGAGTCGGCGGCTCCCAGGCAGCTGCAGCCGGTCCCTGCCACCCAGGAACCCGCCGGCATCCCGCCCCGCTCCCAGGCCACCGTCACCCTGCCCACCTGGCAGCCGAAAACGGGCCAGAAGGTGGTAGAAATGAAATGGGATCAAGTAGAGGTGAGAATGTGCATCAGTAAGGTTAAAATAATCCCAGTAATTTTAATGTCAGCAGTAAGAATGGAACACTTTTAAGTTACCCCGTGAACAAAGCCACGTGCCCTAGCGTCTTTCCTCTGCACTTGTTTGGGAAATCTCTCTTGGTTACCCAGCGGGACATTGGGTTGTGATTGTTTTGTGAGCATAAAAAGTAATTGAGGGAAGAATAGCAGTGAAATTATTTTGGGGAACATCCGCGTACATCTGTGAGGCAATCCTAGATTTGGGGGCAGATGGCTCACTGAAGGGTCATATAAATGAATGTATTGCAGACCCTCAATTGTTGAGCTAATTTTACTTATGGAATATTATGCTCAACTTTTTCTTGCTTTGTTTTTGTTTCAGGTTCTATTTTTGGTGCCTTGCAGCACTTCAATGGAATTTAGAGGGAAAACTATTTTTTTGATTTAAAAAAATTATTAAATTTATTGGGGTGACATTGGTTAATAAAATCATAGATTTCAGGAGTACAATTCTACAACACATCTGTATATTGTACTGTCCTCAAAGTCAAGTCTCTGTCACCATGTATTTGACCTACTTTATCGTTTTCTACCTCCCCCAGCCCCCTTTCCCTCTGGTAACTACCATAGTGTTGTCTGTGTCCGTGAGTTTTTGTTTCTTTGCTTGTTTGTTGCTGTCTAAAATATTTTGAGAATGCACTGGAGAATGAAATTTGCAAATTTTATTTAGTTTGGCAACAGCAAATTCTATTTACTGATGATTGTCCAGTCTGGGTTTGGCTTATTGTGTTTTCAAGCTTGTCAAAAGTCTCATTACACATAATATAAAATTTTCAGCACATCCCTAAAAGTTGACATAAAATATAAATTTGCTAGCTGGAAGAATTTGGGAACAAATCAAAATCATGAATTTGAGGTGACAACGATAGTGTAATTTCATTCCATATTTTATACTTTATATGACATCTATGTAGACATGGGGCTGTATTTTATTACAGGTTTCGTAGCATAAATGAAAGAAACACATAGATCTTTGTGTAGTACTCTTAGAGTGAAGGGATCTGTTTAGAAATTTCCCTTATGAAAAGAGGTAAGGCAGCATCTCTTTCATTTTCTGGGGTAATTACAACCAGTTGACCTACCTTTTCACCCAATTTATGAAGGCCACCGGATTTATACCCAATTTAGGAAGGCCATCCGATTTGAGGGCCACCCAATTTATGAGTGTCACCTGATTTAGGAAGGCCACATTGAAGCTACAGGGCAGTGTTTTTCTCCTACCTANTTTTTTCATTACCACCCAATTTATGAAGGCCACCGGATTTATACCCAATTTAGGAAGGCCATCCGATTTGAGGGCCACCCAATTTATGAGTGTCACCTGATTTAGGAAGGCCACATTGAAGCTACAGGGCAGTGTTTTTCTCCTACCTAAAAACTAATGGACTTGTCCTGATTTCATACTTCTAATAGATGCTTTGAAGTTATGATGTCAATACCTCTTTGCTGAATGACTCACTTCTTGAATGTGAAATAGATTTGGTTCCCTGTTTATCAAGGGAGTGTCCTTCAATGAAAATTTCTTCCCAACCAGCCATTCCAGCCTGTTTGTTTAAAGACAAGCTGCCCGGTAGCTGGTAAATGTGAAGTAGAGACGCCTCACCTTCCATCCTGCTCTTACTTAGGCAGGTGGAAAGTGCCAGAGGAAGACACCTTCCCTTTGCATGAAGCCATGGTGCTTTGGGAACCTGAGGCTATTTGGAGCCTTAGGGGACTGAAATTCATGGAACCGTTGTTCGTTACACAAACTTATCAAGTTGGACTCACGTCTTCGAATATCCATGGCGGACTTGATCTGTAGCATTTGACTGTTGAGCCTTCTGGACAATAAGTTCTAAGTGTCGGCGGGTGAAAGTGCTGGGAATTTGTGCTCTCAGTTCATTCAGTGATGAGGGACAGACGAATGACTTGGTCAGAAGCACCTCATTGGACACAGCTCAAGTATTCACAGTATACTTTCTGATGAGACAACTCTACCCCCAGCCCCCACCAGCTCCTTTTTTGTACACATCAGTATAATACTTTGGGGCATATTTCACTTAAAAAATGAAGGTGTAGTCCACAGGGAGGAAAAGGGCAGCTTCCCAGTGACCTGGCCTTAGTGTGCGCCCCTGAGACCCATCTCTGCACAGAGCAGGTTACTTCTTGCCTACTGCGTGTTTAAAGGCTCAGTCTCCTGGTCATGAAGGTTTATACCTGCCCTGGGTAAGCTGGTGCTTAAAGGCCATGGCCTTCTCTAAGCATGTAGTCCTTTGGGGACCCCTAGCCTGAGCACAGAGCAGAGGCCAGTGACTCCTGTTGAAAGAGCAGCCAGCGAACCCCGAGCCCTTCCCTGGGATATCCTGTCACAGTTTTCCCAATCCAGGCAACGGGTAGACTGTTCCAGAAAAACTTTCGCATTTTGAGAAACTCAAATGGCAAAGCTTTCATTATCTTTTGAGTTGGTAACGTTTCACTTGTCCTTTCTCTGTCCCTTCCCCAGCATCATGGAAAGGGGCGGAAGGATGCATCTCATGGAATTTTGCTTTATAATATCTTGTGCTGTGGACAACTGCAATCTTTTTGTGTTTTTCCAGGTGGTTCCAGATATTGCCTGTGGGAACGCCAGTTCCAACAGCTCTGCCGCGGGCCGGCTGGCATCCTTTGAAGTGCCTCAGAATGCCTCAGTCAAGTAAGAAAATTCTCAGTTGAAAACTATTAGCTTGATACTGTGACTGGATGGTAGGTGGTATCTCTCCATGTAACAGGTCTGTGACTTGTCCATCCAGTGAGAGTCATGCATGGAGATTCATATGTTAGGCATGGCCAATGTCCCTCAACAGCTCGAGGGTGCTGTTTATTTCAGAGGAGACTGTTAGAGTGAGGACCCGGCCAGGATGGAGACGCAGAAGTGTGGGATTGGACTGGGTGAGTCAGGTGTGAGATGAGAAACCCCAAGGCCTGAGATAAGGTCCAGGGCCAGACCCTTCACTTCCCAGGTGATTTTTGCTTCCAAAATTCTTTGGCGTCTTAAGATTTGAATGGACCGTTGGTTAAATTCCTATGCACCATTTACCCCAAATTTAAAATCTCAGCATTATAATCTCTTTAAAAACAAACAGCTGAGAAGAGAGCATTTTGTCTTGTTTTTTTAAACTTAAGCTCTTTCAAATTACATGCTGCCCATTGCCACTGGTGGGGATGGGGGGACCAGGCACAGGGAGGCAGGTTGGCTGAGCACCTGCTGGGTGCTAGTTGTGGAGCCTTTCTGGGGACCGAGGGTGGAGCCAGCATTAGAGCATCCAAGTCCAGTTGCTATTAACTACCATTCCCTCTCTACCCTCCCCCCCCCCGGCAACCAGTGGCCATTTGCTGTCCAGTCTCCAGGAGAATAAGGGGCCCATGGCCCTGGTTAACCAGCACACTGCATTGGCTCCCCTTTAAGGGAGCAGCGAGCATACAGACCTCTTCCATTTGTCCAGGGTTACTTCTGCCCACCTTGCCTTCTCAGCAAGAGAGCCCCTGGGAAATATTTGGAAGAGGGACTTTGTTACTTTGCCCCTGCAGCCCCTGCCCGAGCCGGGACTCACCCTGATCGGGGGAGGAGGGGGGCAGAGCTGGCACCTACAGTGAACTCTGGGCACAGGGCAGAGTCCTGGAGCCAGAAAGGTGTGGTGGCCAAGGCAGCTTCGCGTTCCACCAGCAGGGGGACCCCGCTCCTAAGGGTTTCACATGAAACCCTCACAGGCCTGAGCTGGTTTTAGGGAAATAAGGTTCATTAGTTTATGAAACCATCTTCCAGCCCTTTCTTCTCTAGGTCAGTGGTTTCCAACCTTTTGCATCTCCTGACACACATAAACTAATCACTGAAATTCTGTGGCGCACCAAAAATATATTCTTTGTCAACTGGACCAAAAAAATAGGTATAATTTGGATTTACTCACACTGGATGGCTATTGTTGGGTTGGCTGTTGTTATTTTTTTGACAAGCTAAGGAAAAAGGGTCAGTGCCTCTGACTAAATAGTCAGGTTTTGCATGTTTGAAAAACTCTTGGGGCACACTGGTTGAAAACACTGGTCTAGGTCATATTATCTTCCATAAACCTTTTCAAATAGTTCTAATTTTCTATCCCTTTAAATGCTTCCCCCCCCCCCC